GGAAACTCGGTGATGGCCATAGGCACCACCACCTTCTTCAACTCATATTTCAGCCCTTCCGCTAATTTTCTGCACTTCCAGGCTTCAGAAATAGCCTGCGAATAGAAACGAGCCAAGTGCTCGAACTTCAATGCATACTCTGATACAGTCAACCCACCCTGAATCAATCGCAAAAACTCGGCCTCCTTGGCGTGCCTCACGCTCTCCAGATAGTATTTCTCCATGAACACTATCCTAAAACACTCCCAGTCCACTGTAACTCCCCTAGCAACAAGCATCTGAGGCATCAATCAAGGACACTTACGGAACACAAATCCCAATTCCAAAACACTACAAAAAAACCAAATTCACATATACACAAGGGAAACAAAAGAAAGAAAACTAACCCAAAATGGCAAAAAGATTAGATGTAAGGACTACAAATGGATCCCGTGTTACACCAAAAACTGCCGGTATTGAGTCAACCTAAAAAAAATTGAGTCAACATTCCAATGCCAAATTAACTAGAAATTCCACATGAAATAGATAAATGAGAAAACCTACTGCACCAGAGAAAATATTTAGTGTCCTAAAGATGCATTGTTCTGTCTGGCACATAATACCCTCCGTCTCTACAGTTTCCTGCTAGGTGACAGTAATACTGATAGATGTAAATGTCAATTGGCATAGTTTTTTTTTTTTTTTCGTTTATGAAATTAAGGTTTCAATTTGGGATAATTTATTGTTATTTGTTATTTAGAATTTTATTCTATTTTGGATTATCTTCTTAGGGTGTCGGGAGTTCAAAGAAATCATTATTGTAAATAGTTGACCTTTTGTATCACTCTTGGTTCCTGTCCTACATCACTAAAGCATTCCTTTATTACCAAAGTGAAAATTGTTTATCTTTTTTAAAGGATAAATTAGCAAATACAAGTCAAATCCAGTGTGATCACACTCAAGCCATGTCTTTCTAAAGTTTCTGTTTCCCACTCAGACCACAAAATGATGTCTATTTTTCTGCAATAATTCTGCTCCCGACAAAAAAGTGCATTAGTTTTTTTTTTTTTTTCTTTTTTCTCAACACTATTTAGGATGAAGTGGCAAGCTTCAATATAAGCAAGAAGCCCAAGAAGAACAATGTTGAAGTGATATCAGAACCATATTTCAAGTCCCAAAAGTAATAAACATGGTTATGCTGAAGGATAGACATGTAATTATGTAAACAGAAAACAATTATGCAGCAACCAAGGTATATCAAAACAGGCCAAGTCAACATTTACCTGCAAGTACTTCAACTCTGACATACCCTCAGAAATTATCAGGTAAAGTGACCTTAAACCTGCATTTGACAAATAACAGTCGTTTAAATGTAAATAAGTTTATGAGGAAAAGCATTGATAATTGTCTGACAAAAGACAAATACACATCTGATCTGAGATTATGACAAAAATGAACTCATTTTGTATCTCCACCTCCACAAGGCAGTAAAGTAGAGAAATAAAGTTACAAAAGAACCACTTCTGAGCAACAAATCCTGTGTTATAAAATTATTTATTACAATATTTTGCACACGCAAATAGTTGAACCATCCTTAAAACCAGAACTGCAGTAGGTAAGCTTTCCAGGCATCAATCAAGGACACTTACGGAACACAAATCCCAATTCCAAAACACTACAAAAAAACCAAATTCACATATACACAAGGGAAACAAAAGAAAGAAAACTAACCCAAAATGGCAAAAAGATTAGATGTAAGGACTACAAATGGATCCCGTGTTACACCAAAAACTGCCGGTATTGAGTCAACCTAAAAAAAATTGAGTCAACATTCCAATGCCAAATTAACTAGAAATTCCACATGAAATAGATAAATGAGAAAACCTACTGCAAATGCAATGTCACTGAGTTCGATAACAGCTACAGTAAGAAGCAAAGGGGTGGCCTGCCCAAAATGTTTGATCCCTGTTAGAAATCAAGTTGAAATTAATTTAATTCAATACCACCTTTTTCAACATGCAACAACAAATCAAGGATTTTCCGCAAAATTTCTCAACAACCCCGAAACCCCAAAGAAAACAAGCTTTCTTTCAATTCCAGCCATGAATCAGACACCAACAAGCATCTAACGAGTTTATAAAACTCGTCCACAGTCAAGAACAGCGAAAAGGAAACAAAATTACTAGCTTCCCTTACCTCGGGTGAAGATTCCGAGTTCTGGGAGCTTGAGCGGAGAAGAAGAAAGAGCTTGTCCGGAGGAGAATGTTAAACTTGAAAGGAAGCACCACCCTCAACTAGCTCCACCCGCCCCTGGCTCAGCACCTAAAGCCACCAATTTAGAGAAAAGAGAATGAGAGGGAAGAAGAGAGAGTTGGAGTGGTTGGAAGTGAAGAAAGGGGAAAAAGAGAGGGAAGGGGGTCTTACAACGGGTGATCAAACCGCTATAAGCATTGAGTGAGAATCAAACACAAATAATGAGATTAAAATGCATATATTTAAGAAGAAGAAGAATTAGTAGTTACATCCAACCAATCCTTAATAGATTTAGCCACAAATGGCCATTATAAGATAAGAGAAGTGAAAGAAGAGATTACAAAGTGAAAGATGAAGAGAAGAGGTTAGACTTCGTTCCCAAATGATCCAGCTGCCCAAATCTTCGTTCTTTTCTCCTTTCGTGCCTCCTAATCCTATTTTCTCTCCTTATTTTTGTGATGCCCTGTTTTCTCTCTCTTTTTCCTTTTATATTAGCTTTGAAACAGGGGCCAAAATGAGATTTTTTCTCTCACGGCTGCAACTGTAAATCCACAGCTATGGTTGTGGAGAGTTCTTCAAGGTGAAGTAACCTCCAACGCTGCAGTTGTAGATCCACAACCATAACTGTGACAAATATTTCATGGTGAAGTAAGCCCCAGCGTTGCAGTTGTGAAACCATAGCTATGGCTGTGAGTTTCTGGAATTTTTCTTGATCTCCCATGCCTCAACACTTTAGCGGAGAATCTACAACTATGGCTGCAATTCTCTGGAGTCTCATTTTTGCACTGCAGGTTTCCACAACCATGGCTGCAAGTTTCTGACTTCCTGATTTCTCCCCAGATTCCCACAGCTAAAGCTCCAGATCCACAACTATGGCTGTGGAACTCTGTCTTCTCAAATTTTCTGCAAAAAGGGAGGGAAATCATTAAGATTTTTCTACTACTCTTCTACCTATTTAGTATACTTTGATTATTCAAATTTAGGGGGTAAAATATCATATATATATATATATATCTACAATTTCCAAAAAAGAGTACCAAAAGTTGAGTGTAAATTATGAACAAAAGACACTTAACAACTCCCCCAACCTAATCTTTTGTTGGTCCCCAACAAAATACCAATCAACTAAAAATTTCCATCATGAGATTGCTTCTGTATCAACAATAGGCCAAAACTCAATCAATTCACTATCAAAAACCATTTTCTACTCACTGAGGTGCCCACAAAACCAATCATGCTCAACCAAAAAGATTGCAAGACAAATCATAACACAAACATTACAAACCAATAAGTGAACATACTCTCATAAGAATGACTTCCCAGGGTGAGTGTTTCTCTCAATTCAACTCATCATTTCTATGAAAATAAGCATTGATATCATCTCTTCATTACTGCTCTTTGAGAGAAAATTAAGGATCACAAAGACTTTTTTTTAAGGTTCTACTGAGGCTTGGTTAGCAAAGGAGTGTGGTTTTTCAGATTAACAGGGTTTAAAATCAAGAGAGTAGAATGAAAATGAACCCAAACACTCCATATTGTTCACTCTTAATATTCAACTCCAACCAAATCTCTCAGCCCAAAATCTTCCTCTCATTACATACCCTTTTTCCTCAAGATTTGCTGCCTAGATTTTAAGAGGCCCCTCTCTTTTGAGACTAAGTACAAGTGCTTGCTTATTTACTTTTGATTTTTGATTTTTGATTTTTTTAAGTGAGAATTGAGGATAGAATAAAACTAACAAGCACAAGCACCACTTTTGACTTAAACTTGAACAATGATGTTGATATAGGGGTGACTCTTTCCTTCAAACTTTGCACTATCTTTATTTCACCATTTTCCTTATTTCCTTCAACCTTAGTGATTTTAAATCTCCCCCAACTTAATCCCCAATTCATTTTCATTATACTCTCAAGAATTTGGTTAGGGTGAAGAGTTGGTATTTGGCAAAGGCTAAAAGTTGACTGAAGGTTAAGGCTCAAACAAGTTTCAAGGAAGGGATTCAATTATGGTTTACTGTTTGGCTCTATGCTTAAGAAGAATTCAACTATGCAAAATGAAATGCCTTGATCTTATCCAAAACTTCTCACAAGAGCAATCATTCAAGACTCAACCAATGCAAACACATATATTATGATGATGGCCCTGAAAGTAAAAATGTATAAGATATGATCTATGCACTATTTAGTTTCTCTCATTCACCGGCTTGGCTAAATGTTCAATTATTGATCTTTCATGCCATGATAATCAAATATCTCACAACTTCATGATCAACAAATTGGATGAGTATAACCTCAAAGCAAGTTTCAAAGCAAACCATTTTAAGGTGAATCAAAAGATGTGTTTTCGCTTTTTGTTGATCTAAAAGCCATCTCATTTCCTATCTTTCAAGAATGATTTTCAATTTTTCCCAATATATATATATATATATATATATTTTTTTTCCACAAAAAAAAAATATATGTATTCACACTACTGCTATCAAAACAACCAATTGTGCAAAATTCCAAAACAATGAATATCCTAAACATTAGTATAATTGCACCACAAAGTATGAAATTCAACCAAGAACACCAAAAGTTCAAGCACCTGACCAAAACAAGTAAATCACCAAATAGACCAAGCAAAACAGAAACTAAAACAACTGAAATTTAAAATGACTGGAATTTAAAATGGCATAAAATTAAAATGGAACTCCTTTTCTTCAAAAAGTAGTTGATAGTGACCCTTCATCCTCTCCCTTATTCTCTTCTTCATTAACTCCTTCTTTCCTGTTGCTTCCTCCCTCATCACATTCTTCTTCTGAATGCATTGCTTGTCCATGCTCTTGCTCCCCAACATGATCTCCACCCCTTCCAAAAAAGATAGGGTTGTCCCCAGGCCACAAAACTGCTTCCTCAAATTGCTCAGGTGTAGGCCATGGGTATAAGCTGTCACCTGTGTCTGCCCGGTGTAAGGTGTAATTGTAAAAATAAGAGTGCAACACCAACTTTCCTATGTGATTTGCAGCTTGTTGAAGCTGGACATGGCGCAGATGAGCCATTTGTAGCTGGTGTTGCGCTTCCATATGCTGGAACTGTTGAGTCATGTAGGTCTGTATAGTGGATAAATCAAAGGGCCCAATTGGTGGGGCTGGAGGTGAGGGAATGGATGGTGGAGGGTGTTGTGATGGTGTGCGAGATCTTCTAGATGCTCTTGGAAACTCTCTTTGATTATAACATCGGGCCTTGACGAACACATGATCAATTTTCTTTCTTATGGGAGTAAGTGGTTGTAGAATACGCACTCCCTTTGCCTTGCACATACCAATGATCAGTCCTGGAAAAGCTAATGGCCGCACCGCTCCAGATTTTGAGGGCTTGGAAAGAACAATGGCATGCATGTCATTAGATATCAAGGTAGCAATGTCCACGTCTCTCTATTGCATAATAATATGAGCTTTGCTCGTGCAATGGTGATGTTAGAGGTGTGGGTGAGAGGAAGGACATTGTTGTATAAAACTGCTTGCCATAAATGGACAACAAATTTCAAGTCCGCTCTGAGTATATGGGTGGGTTGACTCCTTGTACCAGTTTGGTACTGGCTACCGGGAAGACTTAGAGTTTCCAGCATCAAAGCAGACATATCTTCATCCATGGTGGTGTGTAGTAGCTTTTGGTATTCATCTTCCACTGGAATGGCATAATCAGTTTGCAAGTATGCATTAATGGCTTCCGGATCATAGGGGATTGAAATGCCTCGCACCCAAGAGGTTCGATCCTTTGAATCAGATTTAGTCGGGTAGGCATTGGCATAAAATTCCTTGATCAGAATTGCATTGTAGTTTTCTTCTGGTTGTCCTACCTTGGTCCATTTTCTTCTATTGAATTCATTGTTGAAGTCTAACAGAGGAAGATATGTGACCACTGGTCACTCCACAATTATATGTCTGCCCTCCAAATTTATAAATCTCAGTTGTTTAAACTTGTTCCGGAGTCTGTTGGGAAAGAAAGTGAAACCCTTGGGTGGTTGTGATGGTGTGGGGGTTTCTTCGTCCTCAGAAGATGAAGATGAATTTGGAGTAGAAGCTGCCACTTTCTTCCTTTTACGATCAGCCGAAATTTTGTGGGTTGGTCGAGCCACCACCTCTTGAGCGAGCCATCTGGAAATTTGATAACCAACCTTACATCCAAGCTAATCCACAAATTGATCATACAAACAGAACACAATGCTTCATGGGGCATAAGGAATGATCAATAAGCATTCTAACATGTGAAATGCTAAAGTTATTTCAAACCCACCAATGAACAAGAAATTATTTCAACGAGAATCTTACACATGTATTTGAACAAACAACCATCAATGAAGTAATATTAGCACTAACATCTTATTCACAGCAATGATCAACCCAGTGTTCCAAGGAAAAATCTTTTTAAGTATGGCAACCAACCATCAACCAACCAACTCTTAACAACAAGAATTATCAATCCACATAATGATTTTACACATTAAAATATGAACACATATTCACTCAAGTATTTAACCAAGCACATGGTGGACACGAGAAAGAAAAGCAGAATGCATGTTAATTCCTACCATGCAAGGCTTCAACTTCTTCATAAAAATGGAACATTTCAATGATCAATCTTTTCCCAAGCGTTCATCGTTTTCAAATCAAAATTTCCTCTCATTCAGGTATTTCTTCAAACACAAAGCAAGCAGAAGATGAGAAAAGTCATGCATGTGCAAGATTGAAGGATTAAACACCCAAATTCATGCTATCCAGTCCAAAGAGAAAAGAGCCAAAATGTATGCTTCCACATTGATGAATAGGTTCAAAAAATGATGAGAATCATGAAGGGAGTTCATGACAAATGAAGAACCTACAAACACGTCTCATGCAATGAAGAAAGAAATAAGAAAGATGGAGACTTTACCTTATAATCCTAGCAAAAAGTGAGTGCTTTGATGTTTCAGTGTGTGATGAATGAAGAAAAATGAAACCTTGATGCCTAAGAATGGGAACTTTATAGAGAAAATGTGAGGGGAAGATGAAAATATGAAGAACCACAAAGTTGCAAGAGTGGGGGGGTCAATTTTTAAACTGATGAAAACTGTTCACATGGCCCCTATTTATATGTCTTCGTGTTTGGGCGCCATAGCCACGAGCCACCGCTGCAGCAGTGGCTAATTAAATTTGAATTTTGGCTCTAAAGAGTGAGCGCTTAAGCTGTGAAAGTGGCGCTTGAGCACTGGAAATAGAACCACACCACAGAAAATTGGCGCTATGGCTGCAGAATTTGATGTTGCAGCGGTGGGATTTTATGGGGTTCTAGAAAGTTGGCGCCTTGGCGCTAGAATTGGAGCTTGAGCGGTGGAATTTTAACACTTAAACACATCTTGTCCGAGAATGGGTGCTATGGTTGTGAGTTCTAGCGCTACAGCGGTGAGAATTAAGTTGCAAATGTAGCTTGGCAGAGACTTGGCGCTAAGGCTATGAGCCTAGCGCTGGAGCAGTGGAACTTAAGATTCACAAAAAGGCAAGGCAGAGAAATGGCACTAAAGCGCTGGATTTGGCGTTGTAGCTGTGGGTCTTAAAAATAAAAATTTTGAACTTCCACTTTCCATTTAAAACAATATAGATTGATGATAAGAAAGTCACGTTCAAAATCATATTCAAAGCCACTGGTTCCACTCTGAATAAACAGCAAGGTGCGTGATTTACTTCCTAAGGCATGAAATCTAGGGAATCCCTTGGAAACTACTAAATTAAATTCTTTATTGAACTTCTTCACAATTCCCTTTCTAACACCAATGTCAAACAGCACAAGCATTATAAAGCATAATCATAATATCAACTTGCATAAAAATAGGCATCAAACATTTTGGCCAAAATCACCACTCATAGTAAACGCCATCAGCAACACCTCTTGAAGTCAAATATGAGATTCACAACTCAACACACAAACTCTACTACCAAAACAAAGCATTAAAATAATTAGAAACCCAAAACTCAAAATGCTACACAATCACTCTAAAGCATCAAAATAACTTCCCATATCATAACACGCAAAACACAAACAGAACTTCAACAAAATCAACAATCTTACATATACTAAACATTCCAATCATCAAGCAACATTCAGTCTAAAATCAAGCACTTTTATGAACCAAAAACTCTTAACTACATACTATTTAACACAAAACTCAAAATTTAAACTAAAAGTTAAACAAGACATGTTAATTTAATGTCTTTAGCTTGACAATTCCTGTATAGTCATGGCTCCTTCAAATGAGTAATGGTGGTGAGTCTTTCAAACTCGCCCCCGAAATAGTGTTTGAGCCTTTGACCATTTGCTACCCAGGTCCTTCTAGTGGCAGGATCTTAAAGCTCAATGGCTCCATATGATTTGACAAATTTAATTGAGAAAGGGCCTGACCACTTAGATTTGAGTTTCCCAGGGAAGAGTTTCAACCTGGAATTGAACAACAATACTTGTTGGCTAGGTTGAAAGTTCCTGTTCAGAATTTTCTTGTCATGATATAGCTTAGCTTTGTGCTTGTAAGATCTAGAAGACTCATAAGCTTGCAACCTCATTTCTTATAGTTCATGCAATTGGAGCTTTCTTTTCTCCCCTGCAGCCTTCAAGTCATAATTTAAAGCCTTCAAAGCCCAGAATGCTTTATGTTCCAATTCCACCGGGAGATGACAAGCCTTACCATAGATAAGCTGAAATGGTGAGAATCCAACTAGAGATTTAAAAGCAGTCCTATAAGCCCATAGTGTGTCATCAAGCTTGATAGCCCAATCCTTCCTAAAACTGGCCACTATCTTTTCTAGAATTCTCTTTAACTCTCTGTTAGATACCTCAGCCTGTCCATTGGTTTGAGGATGATAAGGTGTGGCCACCTTGTGCCTCACATTATAGTGCTCCAGAACTTTTTGCAATTGAGCATTACAAAAATGAGATCCACCATCACTAATGAGTACCCTTGTTGATCCAATCTTGCAAAAAATGTTTTTCTTTAAAAAATTTATGACAGTTCTAGCATCATCTTTCTACATAGCACTAGCATCAGCTTTCTGCATAGCACTAGCCTCCACCCATTTTGAAACGTAGTCTACTGCCACAAGGATGTATTCATTCCCAAAAGATGATGGTAAAGGCCCAATGAAATCAATCCCCCAGCAATCAAAAACTTCCACTTCTAAGATGTTTTGCAGGGGTAACTCATGTCTCTTGGAAATTGTCCATGTTCTTTGACACTTATCACAGCTCTTGCAATGTTCATATGCATCTTTGAACAAGGTTGGCCCAAAAAATCCAGATTGGAGAACCTTTGTTGTTGTTCTTTCTCCATTATAATGCCCTCCATAGGGTGAGTTATGACAATGCTAGAGAATATCTCTGATCTCAGCCCCAGAGACACTTCTTCTTAGTAAACCGTCAACACATATCTTAAATAGATACGAATCATCCCAGACATAGTAATTAGAATCTCTGAAGAACTTCTTCCTTTGTTGCCAGTTATATTCTTCCGGAATAACCCCTATTGCTTTGTAATTTGCCATATTAGCAAACCAGGGTTTTTCACTCACTGCAAACAACTTTTCATCAGAAAATTCTTCTAAGATTTCTTCTTCTTGACTAGTCACCTGCTCATTAACAAGTCTTAATAGGTGATCAACAACATGATTCTCACATCCCTTCTTGTCCTTGATTTCTAAATCAAACTCTTGTAACAGAAGAATCCACTAGATCAATCTTGGCTTTGAATCTGCCTTTGTCAAAAAATACTTGATAATAGCATGGTCAGTGTAAACAATGATCTTTGAACCCACAAGGTAAGAACAAAATTTTTCTAATGCGTACACTATGGCAAGTAACTCTTTTTCAGTTGTTGCATATTTAATTTGATTTTCATTCAGCACCTTACTTGCATAGTGAATAACATGAAAAATTTTATCTTTCTTTTGGCCCAAAGCAGCTCCTATAGCATAATCACTAGCATCACACATTAGTTCAAAATCAAGTTTCCAATCAGGAGTAGTGATTATAGGGGCTGAAACAAGCTTACTTTTTAATAGTTCAAAAGCTTGTAAACAATCATTATCAAAATCAAACTTGTTATTTTTAAGAAGAAGGTTATTGAGAGGCTTAACTATCTTGGAGAAATATTTTATGAATCTTCTGTAGAATCTTGCGTGCCCCAAGAAGCTTCTGATTCCCTTCACGTTGATTGGTGGTGGCAGTTTTGAAATGATATCTACCTTGGATGGATCTACCTCTATGCCTTTTTGAGAAACTTTATGGCCAAGAACAATGCCCTCTTTGACCATGAAGTGACATTTCTCCTAGTTCAGCACCAAATTAGTCTCTGCACACCGCTTGAGAACAATGTTAAGATTGTTAAGGAAAACTTCAAAGGACGAGCTGAACATGGAGAAATCATCCATGAAGATTTCTATGCATTGCTCCACTAGATCAGAAAAAATTGCAAACATGCAACATTGAAAGGTAGCTGGTGCATTACATAATCCAAATGGAATTTTCCTATATGCAAATACACCAAAGGGACAAGTAAAAGTTGTATTCTCTTGGTCTTCTGGATCCACAACAATCTGACTGTAACCTGAGTAACCATCCAGAAAGAAATAGTAAGCTTGCCCTACTAACCTTTCAAGCATTTGATCCATGAAAGGTAATGGGTAGTGATCTTTTCTTGTGGCTTGGTTCAAATTCGTGTAGCCTATACACATCCTTCACCCAGTTACAGTACGAGTGGGAATCAATTCATTCTTCTCATTATAAATCACAGTCATACCTCCTTTCTTAGGCATGACTTGAACAGGATTAACCCAAGCACTGTCAAAAATAGGATAAATCATACCAGCTTCAAGTAGCTTGGTCACCTCTTTTCTCACCACCTCTTTCATTGTTGGATTCAAGCGTCTATGAGGTTAGGCTACTGGCTTATAATCCTACTTCATATGAATTTTGTGCATGCAATAAGACGGACTAATCCCCTTCAACTCAGATAAAGTCCAACCAATAGCACCTTCATTGGTTTTTATCACTTGAATCAACTTACCTTCTTATTCCTTTAAAAGCTGGCTACTAATTATGATTGGTTTCCCACCATTCTCTTCTAAAAAGACATACTTTAACTGAGGTGGCAACTGCTTCAATTCCAGCTTCACTGTTTGATCTTTTTCTTCCTTCTTCAATTCTTCTTTTGAATGAACATTGACAGAAGAGTTTTCACCTTTATTCAACTCATCAATCACATCCTGAACTTCCTTATCTATGGCTTTATCTAACTCTTCATCAAGCATAGACAAAGCTTTCTCCAATGGCGATGAATTCTTGAAATTATTTTGAGTTTCCAGATACACATCATCTAATACATCAATTCTGAAACAATTTTTATTTCCCTTTGGAAACTTCATTGCTTCAAATACATTGAAATTCACCTCTTCATCTTGGACCCTCACCTTTAGCTTTCTATCATCCATGTCAATAATAACTCTAGCTGTCTTCATAAAGGGTCTGCCCAAAATCAAAGGAACCTCAACATCCTCCTCCATGTCCATGACTACGAAATCAACGAGAAACATGAACTTATCAACTTTCACTATCATATCTTCCACTATGTCATGTGGAAGCTTAATGGATCTGTCTGCCAACTGCAAGGTCATTCTTGTAGGTCTCACTTCCACTTCCCCTATCTTCTTCAGCATAGATAAAGACATCAAATTAATACTGGCTCCAAGGTCTAAGAGTGCCTTACCCACTGATAAATTACCAATTGATACAGGGAGAGTAAAACTGCCCGGATCCCTTGATTTTTGAGGTAAAGACTTCTGTATAATAGCACTGCATCCTGCTTCAAGCTCCATAGTCTCTTCTTCAAGGACTTTTCTTTTCTTAGTTAACAATTCCTTCATAAACCGAGCATAAGTGGGCATTTGCTCCATGGCTTCAATGAAAGGAATATTTATCTTGAGCTTCTTTATGATATCCAGAAATCTTAGGAACTACCTTTCTTTTTCTTTCTTAGAAGGAGCATGAGGATAAGGTAAGTTTCTTACAGGAACAGTGGAAATGACTTCCTTACCCTTCTTTTTCTTGTTCTCCTTCTCCTCTCCATTTTTGCTTTTATTTTCTCACTATCTACACTCTCATTTTTATTTCTTTCCTCCTTATTCTTCTCAATCTCTTCCTCAACCTCCCTCAGTTCAACATTTTCTTTCTTTTCATTTTTTTCATTTTTTTCACTCACTCCAACATCTCCACCAACTACCTTCCCACTTCTTGTTGTTATTGCTTGGCAATGCTCCTTGGGGTTGGTATTGGTGTTGGATGAAAATGGGCCTCCAGACATGTCAGCTAATAGTTTAGCTAGCTGACCCACCTGTACTTCCAAATTCTTGACGGAAACCTTAGTATTTTTCTAGTTGTTCATAGATACCTGCATTAACTGGTTCAAAGTCTCCTCCAATTTACTAGTTCTTTCATGCATAGAAGGATAAACAGGCTTTTTTTGCTGTTGTTGTTGTGGTGGCCTATTGGATGGTCCAACTTCATTCCTCCATCCATATCCTTGGTTGTTATTGTTTCTCCAACCTTGATTCCCCTGCATATAATTGTTAGTATTATAATTACGGGAATTAAAATTACCTACTTTTTGTTGGTTACCCACGTAGTTGATCTCTTCTTCATTTGAGTTCTTAGAACAGTGACCATTGGGGTGTTCTCCCCCACAAAAATCACACTTTAAAGAAACATTTGATTGAGCTGGGGAAGAAGTAATAGCATGAAGCTACTGTGGTATTTTGGCCATCTACTTAGTTAGTGCTTCAATCTGTTGAGATAATAGCTTGTTCTGAGCAAGGATTGCATCACTAGTACTTAGATCAAGAACTCATCTTTTATAAGATTGGTGTTTACCATGATCTGCTTGGTGATCAGAGAATGCCAAAGATTCTAATTTGGGTAGCTTCTTCTGGGCTCATAGTCATCATGGTTCCACCAGCTGCTGCATCTAATAACATCTTCACCTCAGGCTTGACTCCATTAACAAAGAAGTTAAGTTGAGCTATCCTCAAACCTGTGGTTAGAACATTTTCTAAGCAATGACATAAATCTCTCCCAAGCTTCACAAAATGGCTCATCTGCACCTTGCCTGAAAGTTGTGATTTTTGATTTGGCCTTAATATACTTGGATGATAGATAAAATCTATTAACAAACTTGTTTTCCACATGACCCCAGCTTGTCAGACTTTGATTAGGGTGAGATTGTAACTAGACTTTAGCTTTTCCTGTTAGAGAAAATGGAAACAACCTCAAGTATACAACTTCCTCATCACCTTCAGGAATTCCCATTATTCCACATAGCTCATAGAAATTTGAAAGGTGTGAGTATGGGTCCTCATGATCAAGGCCAGCAAATTGTTGTGAACTAACCAAAGTAAGGAAGGAAGGCTTCATCTCCATAGCTCTAGGACCATGTTGTTGTGCGTAATCACCTAGGGTCCTTCTTGGAGGCCTGGTTGGTCCATGTCCACCATTATGAGTTCCTGTTCCCTGTTGAGCCATTTCTGATTCAAGGAATGGTTGATTTGATGAAGTAGAAGAACTTGGAAGATCTTGTTGTTGTTTTTGGAGTCTATCCAACTGTCTAAGCCTTCTTGTCCTACTGTTGTTCCTCCTTGCCATTCTTTCAATTTCAGGGTCAAAATGTAATTCCTCGGCTGGAGTCTTCCCTCGCATACAAATTCAAGAAGTCTGCACAGAAAGGTGAGTCCATAAAACACAACAAGACAAATATATCTATATATTATAAATATTCACAAAATGAATTATTTACACAATTACAAAATCACAAGAACAAGAATTACTAAATTGCACCAAATCCCCGGTAACGGCGCCAGAAACTTGATGAGGTTTTTGATAACACTCCACTTGGCAAGCAGACCAAGTTTTGATGTAGTGTTTAAGTATCATCCTCAGGGATGTGAGAGTTTAGTAATTCTTGCTCTAATGATTTGCGTGAGAATGTTGATATGATTTCAATTGAACAAAGATGAAATAAACAACACAATAAAATAAAATTGGCAAAAACTATTTTAAGAAACAAGGATTGGTTCAGAAGTACTTGCTAACTCGTAGATCTTCTTAAAATAAATATGATTTCAATTTCATTATCTCCATGTTCATTTAGTAATCCAACAAGATTCCTCAAAGTTGAATCCTGAAGTTATTAATCTTCAAACATGATTCCTGTATGTTTTGAGTTTAACACTTCGCATTAAGAACAGTAACTTGAACAAGGGTGACTAACCACATCAAGTCTATTCCTAGAACATGAGATGATTAGGTGCAAGATTCAGTTTAGGTTTTCAAAAATGTTTTCCAACTGGATCCGAAAACCAAAATCTTACCACGGGTGATCAAACCGCTATAAGCATTGAGTGAAGAATCAAACACAAATAATGAGATTAAAATGCATATATTTAAGAAGAAGAAGAGTTAATAGTTACATCCAACCAATCCTTAATAGATTTAGCCACACATGGCCATTACAAGATAAGAGAAGTGAAAGAAGAGATTACAAAGTGAAAGATGAAGAGAAGGGGTTGGACTTTGTTCCCAAATGATCCAGCTGCCCAAATCTTCGTTCTTTTCTCCTTTCGTGCCTCCCAATCCTGTTTTCTCTCTCTATTTTTTTGATGCCCTGTTTTCTCTCTCTTTTTCCTTTTATATTAGCTTCGAAATAGGGGCAAAAATGAGATTTTTCTCTCACGGCTGCAACTGTAAATCCACAGTTATGGCTGTGGAGAGTTCTTCAAGGTGAAGTAACCTCCAACATTGCAGCTGTAGATCCACAACTATAGCTATGACAAATCCTTCATGGTGAAATAAGTCCCAGAGCTGCAATTATGAAACCACAACTATGGCTGTGAGTTTCTGGAATATTTCTTGATCTCCCATGCCTCAACACTTTAGCTAAGAACCTACAGCTATGGCTACAATTCTCTAGAGTCTCATTTTTGCACTACAGGTTTCCACAGCCATGGCTGCAAGTTTCTGACTTCTTGATTTCTCCCCAGATTTCCACAGCTAAAGCTTTAGATCCACAACTATGGCTGTGGAACTCTGTCTTCTCAAATTTTCTGCAACAAGGAAGGGAAATCATTAAGATTTTTCTTCTACTCTTCTACCTATTTAGTATACTTTGATTCTTCAAATTTAGGGGGCAAAATATCATATATATATATATATATACAATTTCCAAAAAAGAGTACCAAAAGTTGAGTATAAATTATGAACAAAAGACACTCAATAGTTGGGTAGTTGGGTTGTAAGGGGATAATGGTTGGTATATGCTGAGTTTTTTAAGTTGTAATATAAGTAGTTAATTCTTCTATACTTGTTGACTATTTCTAAATTCTAGTTTACCCTTTCATATTTTCTTGTGGTTGGTGTAACACCCCAGTTTTCATACCTTATAACAAGGGAATTGACTTCTATTATCAAGAAAAGGAGCTCCCAAAGCATGGGAACAACATGTTATGACATCAGAAGGCTCAAAGCCTGATAAGGGTGTTTTAGTAGCCCAGAACGGGCTGTTCCTAAAACAGAACGGGCCGTTCCAAAAACTGGAACAGGGCGTTCCCAAATTGGAATTGGTCGTTCCAAACTACTAAAAAGGCTTATAACCCTAGTTGGGAACGAGCGTTCTGGTTTAAGAACGGGCCGTTCCAAACATGGACATTATGAGTTAAACTCAACTCCAGAACGGGCCGTTCTGGTTTATGAACGACCCGTTCTAGATGCAAATTTAACACATGATGAAAAGATCCAGAACGGGCCGTTTCGGATCCGAAACGGACCGTTCTGGCCACTTTTGACATCTATAAATAGCAGACTTTAACACTGCTCCTAGACACACTCTCTAAAGACCAAGGAGAACCAAGAGAAGGAGATCAACCAAATTTTGCTCTAGCTTCATCTTCTTCTTATCCAGGTAAGGGGGGAGTGAGAAACCTCGCTCGGGGGTGTGGAAATAATTGTTAGGTAGCAGGATTAGGCTCAATCCCTTGCCTGATGCATGCTTATGGAACAGACAAAATATTAATGTTTTTTATTTTATTTTTTGAATGTTCTGTTACGTTCCTTGTGTGATGTTGAGCGTAAATATATGTTTAATTTCAAAAATAGATAAGTTTTGATATAAATTAGAGTGCTCTGTGGGTTCTTGTGGGAAACCCTATGAAGTAAAATTAGAGATATGATCTTTGGATGAATTTTGAGGCATTATATGTAAAATTGATGATGGATTCATGTTTTGGATAATAGTTAAAGTGTTTTGAACAATTAAAATATTATATTAACTGGTTGGTTGTAGAAAATGTGTGAAATCATGAAGTTGAATCTATGGCCTTTATGCTTTGTATATTATGAATTGCGAATTGAATGGGTATGATGTTGGACAACTTCTTGGTATGATTTACGTCCTATTTTGATGTATATGACTATGAGAAGTTCCTTGTATGAGACTATGTGAATATGAAGTGAGAATGTGAAAGGTGAACATATGATCTATGATATGATATTATGAAATAATGTGACATGATATATGATGAGACGTGATAAGTGAAATGTTGAGTCAATGAAATAGTGAATGTGTGACATGCATCATGTGCATATATGACTCCAGGTGTGCCGCTTAGGCCGCATACAAGTGATGTAACAAGTTATTCCAAGTGTACCTTGGGTCACTAGTGATGAAATGATTTATTCTAGTGATGAGAAATGTGTTATCTAACCTTATTTCTGCACCTGAACTTGAGTGAGATGTTTCTGACTCCCTTGTTGTTCTTGTATGTGTTTAAATTATGTTACAGGTGATCATCAGCATGAAGATGTTGGTGATGAGGCTTATGCTTTAGTTGGGAATGTTCTAATAAGATATGTGACATCGGAGCATAGTTAGGCTTAGTTTGGGAATTTAGTTTCTTTCTTTTGTTTTGGAAAATCTTCAACTTTATTTCTTCTGTAATTTCTGCAAGTGAATTATGATTATGTTTACGAATGTGAATTCTCTACTCTCATGTTAGTGGAACCATGGTTTTAATTCAAAAGATTTATTTACTCCAAGAATATGTTTTCATAATTATTGTATATGTATGTGGGGTTAAAGGGTGTCACAGTTGGACTACGATAATTAGATTTACATGGAAGCAAGGTAAGGATAGACTAGAGGAGGAGTTCAAGTTGAGAGTTATGTTGGATAGCAGTGTTCTTGGACTATTCTTTTAAAGCTTTTTGTATATTACTTAATTGACAACCTAGCTTTTGTTTTCAGTTTTGGATTTTTGTAGATATATGTAAAAGTACATGATAGGATGTAGTTCCATTGAGAAACATTTATATTTCAACAAATTTTATTTCTTACACACACATATATTGTTGTGTGTGATCCAAGATTTCTTGCATGTTAAACTTAAGTGATTAGATGTATGTTTCCATTGTTAGTTATTGAGTTATAAAGTGTAGAATCTGCCAAATCGTTACAACTTGAACCTTGTCATGGAAATTTTCTATAGAATATGATTTAACTTGTGCAATTCCCAACATTTTAGACATCTCATCTTACATGTAAATAATACATATTAGACATATTATTTTACACATGAATAATACATTTTAGACATTGTATATTACATATGAATAACATGCCATACGAACTTATACATGATTATCTTATATAATTTATGATTATAACTAATTATATCATTTATAGACTTTTTATTTATTCACTTATTGATAATAAAAGGTGTCATGTTTGATAGTTATTTTATTTACAATTTTTTATATATTAAATGTATGAATAGTTTAACTTAACTTAAAAAAATAATTACCTTTTAACTTTTTTTTATAAATACATATATTACATGGAAAATAATATTTTTTGAGTTAGTTAGAATCATTATGGACAATAAAACTTCTTTATATTTAGCAAAATTATATAATCAACACTTTAATTCAATATCAAGTTAAGTTTAAATAATTTATTGCTAATTAATTTACACGTTTGTTATTTTTTTTAACTTTTTAAGAGAATTAAAAAAAATATTATTTTAAATAATTATTATTTTTATTAAAATAATTATTTACTTATAATAATAAGATGTAGGATATGAAAATTTTGAGATCCATCTTGTTATTAAGTAATAAGATATTATTAGATCAGAGAGAGAAATGTACAAATTTTATAAAATAAAGACTCATCATGATTATTTACTAATTTTGTTAATAAAATTGTTTAGAATTTAAATTTTGACTTTCGGTATGAAATATACTATGTTAAGAAAAAAATAACTATCTTATGAAATTTGTGGTCTTCAACAAGAATTAATTACAATTTTTAGTACGAAATACTTCATATCAAAATTATAATTAAAAAAAATACTTACTAATTATATTTTATTTGGTACACTCACTAATTATATTTAATAAATATTGTATTTTTCTTGTTTTAATATAATTATTTTCTCTTAATCTAAGATATAAAAAAAAATCTAAATCTACATTGAATAGGCTAGTAAAATACCTAATCTAACAATAATTTATTGATTCAAATATTGTTTTTAGTGTACAACGACCACGAAGATTTAAATATAAGATTATTTAACCATAATAGATGCAATTTAAATACCTTTTTTTTATATCTTTTTTGTTACCGAATTTAATTTTAAGTTTGATTTATAGTTCTAATAGGTATATTTTGTCAAACTTTGTTATATATTATTTTGTTCCTTTTAAGTTCCAGTGACAAATTGATTAGTAGTTAGCATAGATGGTAAATTAATAGTGATGGAGACCAAAACCCTAAAAAACAAAACTATAGGACGAAACATTAAACTTAAAAAATATAAAGAATTAAAGATGAAAGTTAAAAAGCAAAACTGTATTAAACCTAATTTGTTTATTGGGCATGGGCACTTAAACGACATCGTTAAAGGGGGTGTGAGCTAGAAGTTTGTTTCGGCCTTGATCCAGTGGGGCGCATCTCAGCCAATGATGGTGTTTTTCCGACCAAAAAGAAACCAATGACGAATTTTGTGCTTGAAAATACTACGAAAATAGAAAACTAATCGTAGACTAGTTCGCAAAGACAAGAGACACCGATGATGATGATGACGATATTAAAGCAAAATCAAGTTTAAGAGAGAGAGAGCGAGCAAAGGTGACTCCTTTTCATGTGAATTTTGAGTGATCCATTTATTTTTCAGCTACCATCGTCTTATCTGCGTGAAAAAGGAAGAAGGGAAGAGAAATTAAAACATGGGTTGGATTCCCTGTTCTGGAAGTTCAAACACTAAGAAGAAGTTGAAGAAGAAGTTGGAAGTGCAGGACAGCCTCGTTGATCCGATCAAAGCCACCCCAGGTAGCGATTTTGTTCTTTTAATGTTGCAATGGTTTGTGACAGTGAGACCCCTCTTGTCATAGTTGTGTTTTCCTTCGATTTTTGTTGCTCCTTTTTTATGATAATATTTGGGGTTGAATGATAATAATATTTCTTGTACTAATTTGTCTCTTGTTTTATATGGGGTGTCTTGTGATGAATGAAATTGTGTATGTTTTAATTTTGTATGTATTTGGTAGACCAGATTGAGAGTCCTGGATGAGTGAACTTCGTGGGTAAAGATAGCTGGGATTTGATATAGAAATGACTGGCTGCTTTAATTTATTATTTTTTTTTGTTTAGTCTTTTCCTCCTTCAAACCCAGGCTGGAGTAGAATCTACATATGTATAATCATCTGCAATACGTAGTTATAGGATCTTCTTAGAAGATATCTTTTATGCTAGTATGTTGTGTTGGATTTAAGAATTTGCGTGTTAGATTTTTTTGGGGAAAAAATTAAATATTTTTAGTTGGTGTGTTACTAACATTGATTCTGGTAATTATTGTTTCAGTTTTCTTTATATTTGTTAGTTGACTTGTTTCTTTTAGCTTACTGGTTTTCTCATTTACAAAGTATACTCATCAAGTTTAAAATTGTAGTATTGATGTTAATCGAAATGATGCATCCTGTGAGACAAAGTCAGTTTGTGATTATTTCTGGGAATTGGAAAATGAAGTATGTTTGTGTGATACTTTCTGAATCCTCTACACTAAAGGAACACGGATTGGTCTTGGATGTTAACTTCTAAACCTGCTGTGATTTATGCTTCTTCCCACTTCAGTTGTTAGTCTTTGGAATTGATGTAGGGAAA